TTCTCTTGAACTGAGAGCACTTTCAAATGAATGGGCCTTATTTGATCAAATAAATTCATCTTTTATCATCAAGGCGTTCTATGTGTTGCCAATGCAGTCAGTGTGCACATTTTGGCTGCCAATTTGCCGATAGTATCCAACTAATCTTAAATTCGAGTTAAATGAGGGTTAAAGATGCGCTCTGATCTTGTGGAATCCACCTTCATTTTTACCTTCCTATTATACAACACTCTTCAATTTGATAGCCAATGGTAATCTTGAATACTGTGTAAACCGGTAAGAGATCTATTTCCTTTAACTGAATTCGAATCCAAGTATAGGTGCGTAACCACCATTAGCACCACCTACTTTCCAATTTTTTTCTTTTACCATTTCGTTTCTTTTATACATCTCTCTGTGCTGCTGCAGCGGAATTAGTGAATGCTGCACATGCGTGTAGTCTACACAGGGGTAGTAGTCATCTTTTGTCTAAAATCTGGGTCTCCTCCTAACTACTAACAACCAGACAACCCTTCTGCTCCTTTTAATTCAATCATGCGATTGCCTGTTGAGGCAAGAACTTATTGCCATCATCTGACAACACTCTGTAAACAAAGCTCGAAGATTTAGTTAGTCTCACTGACAAGAATAATCGCAGAAAGGTATGAAGGTCTGGTGACCCCCCCCCTCCCCCTCTTCCTCCCTCCCCCTCCCCCTCATCCGAATCCAAATTGTAATTATTAGAGAGGCGAGCAGCTCATAAGGGCCTTATAGGATTTCACTTTGAACAAATCACCTTGAGCACGTGGCCAATGCAGATATGTACAATTGACGTTTGGGGGAAAAGAGCATTTTTTAATATTTATTTATATCAAATGGTAGGCATCTTGATGGTTATCATTAGCCCTTTAGTTGACTTCAGGCTTCACAGAGAGGGGAAGGAACATCAAAGTGAAAAAAAGTCGAGAGGAGGGGTACTGAAGAGTGTTTCAAAGACGAAGGTTGAAAATTTAGAAAAAAATGTGATGTAGTACTGTGGAAGTGGTCGAATATGCCATACATTGGGGTGATGGTAGTTTGAAGTCAACTGCCGGTTTATAGACTTTTTTGCCGTATGAGTATACGTTGCCCAGGGTGCACCACGTGGAGGTAAGTCTATCTCACACCCCCATTTTTTAATACAGTCTTGAGATACTTCACTAAATCAGTACATAGTTCGCATTTATAGCTCTTTATTAGAGCGTTCATAGCTCAATTCTGATATTGATCAAAAGTAAGGCCTGAATTATAATCGTTCCATCTCGACGACCCTCGATTGACATTCGAATATCTTTTTGATTAGCTGAAAATTCGTAAACATTTATATCAAATGGCAGGCGTTTTGATAGTTATCATTAGCCCTTTAGTTGACTTCAGGCTTCACAGAGAGGAACGAACATCGAAGGGAAAAAAGTCGAGATGTGGGGGGGGGGGGAACAGAAGAGTGTTCCAAAGATGTAAAAGAGACAGACATAAAGGTAGAAAAAAGGTGAGGCGAGCACTGTGGAAGTATTCGAATATGACATACAGTGGGGTGATGGTAGTTCGAAGTGAGAAGTCAGCTGCCGGTTGATAGAATTTTTTGCCGTATGAGAATACGTTACCCAGGGAGCACCACGTGGAGGTAAGTCTATCGCGCACCCCAATTCGTAAACATAATTTCCTATACTTTTTCATTGCAATACTTTGGAGTTTTGTCAAATATTGAACCAGCATTCAGTTAATTGAGTCTCGAGCCTTTGGTCTTTGGTGAATAAAAACAAAGATTTTCTAATGCCAACTGCTCTTGCTCTAATTGTCATTGTAAGAGCCCTCTAAAAGGGGCAGGAATGTTTTGGGAGATTTCGAAATTTCATTTTTTCTCAGCACCAAACTTTCTTGACAAACATCTCTCGCATTGAATGCTGTGAAGTTGAAATTTGATTCTTGAGCAATAGGCCAGTTTCAAAATTCGATATGATGGAGTTATCGTGATGTGTAAGGCAGGCTATGTTTGAAAGATTCATAATATCCACAAGGCTGCAATAAACAACCGAATGGTCGTGCCTGGATTCACTTAAACAAAATCGCAATGCGTATACTTTGAATTCTGAGTGTGGTTGATGTACTTTGTCATGGCCCCAAAAGTATAGAGGTTTGAATTGTGAGACTTGACACTGAGTTTCGTGGGTGTGAGTTCATATTAGTGATATTCATTTGTTTAAATTGAATGTCACCGCAATTATTTTTTTGTTCGTAACGCCCAGAGTAATTGGCTAATGTTAAGGCGTTGTTTCAATTCAGTGAACGGCTTTCTGCTTTTAATTTGTGAATTTGCGTAAAATGGACCAACCTTGAACCGCGTCATGCCAATTGATAACAGGTATTTGTTTAGATTTAGTCGAAAAATTCTTAACATATCGATTTGGACTTGATTTCCGATGAAATTGGCCTGACACAACTGTCAAGTGAGAGAAGAGTTTAGGAAAAACTACACTACTGCCCCACCTTCTCTTTAATAGCCTTACGTTTGTCAATCCACGCACTAGGCGTGAGGAAATTTACATGATTAATTTATGCCACAAATCTTCTTCTACTCTCTCACTCTCGTGTATGCGCACCAATTCCACCCCACCTCACCCCACTCCACCGCCACCACACCCACCACCACCACCACCACTACCTTCCAAATGCAAATCACCACTCCAACAATTTGACCTTGTTCTTTCGCCTCTTATCTGTGGACTCTCCGTCACACACCTGTGTGACAGGTCCTTCCACACAAGCAGCCTAATTATGTATACGACGACTATTTTCCACCTGGATAAAGTATGAACGTTAAGTTGGCAGTAATTCACACCCCCCCCCCCCCCCCTCCCCTACCATTTGACATCATAACGTGCTAATCAATCAATCAAATCCTGGTGATGTGATAATTAGTTAGTTAAGCACGGATTGTGGGAATGCAGGTGGTATAATCACCCAGATTGACCTAATGTCTTGTCCACGCCTCCTTCGCTTGACCACATAATGGAATGGTTGTTGATTTATGGGTAGAATATTATCAGAAGGAGGTTGATTGATCTGTTCCAGCGAAAGTGGGGTATTAATACCCTCGTGATAGGGAGAAAAATGTCTTATTGTTTTATCTATTTTTTTCTAATAATAGAAGCGCATCTAAGCATATAGGTGTGTAAATAGTTTAATCTAATTTAGTAATGTGCAAAATTTTGCCCCAATGTTCTTGGGTTCAGTTTTCAAACTCTTTCCTCGCGTGTTTGAGTTCAATCGTCCAACCAAACAAACTAGCTTGTTGTTTATTCAATTTCTATGCATTTGTTTCCTTGTAATGGTGTTAGTCACCTAATTGATATCATGGTAAAATTTAAACCAGCCAAACGAGCTCTCCTTAGGTAATGTAATATTGGTGTAATAGAAGTGATTCAAATATAGTGGTTCGTATCATACTTGGTCTAGCTTGAAGGAAAAAATGAATAAAGTAAAAGAATGGTATATACGCATGTCTGCAAGGTCAGAGGTCACCCGATCAATACCCATTGGTGCCTATCGAGTGGGGTGAGTAACCGACCGACCAACCGACCTGGCCAATTCTGATCTCTAAGTGAAGTGGTAAAATGTAAATATCTCATCAAATCACTTTAATGGTGCTGTGAACACTTATCAGAATGGGTTTAGAAGCTTGTGGCAATCTTCTATGGATTATCAGAAAAGGTAAATTGGTCTAGACAGCATAACCGACTACTCAGCTTATTTGACTGTTTTACGAGCTCTGAACATCTTGTAATTAAATTTATACAGTAACCTAGGTAACTTTTGAAATCCTGAAAGTAGTGGGACAGTGAAATAGTCTGCCATAGTCTATTAAATAAAAGCCAACTAACAGCCTAATGAAGTGGAGTTATTCAGATGCCCCGTTTTGTGCTGCAAAAGATCTGATCTTTTTCACATTACTAAATTGAGTTAATAATGACGCCATTTTACCAGATAACCGCCCACCCAAATAAGCACCCATGGGCGATAATACAGAAATAAAATATTTCACCTAGGAAGAATATATATATATATATATATATATATATATATTAATAAGGTTTTAACTAGTCTTTACTCCACTCCTAATGATCATTTAGGAGAGACCTTGCAAATGCCCAATGGGCAAAAAAACTGATTCCTTCAACACTGATTCAAATTGACTCCGAGTTATGATTGTTCAGATGGCAATTTCATTACTTAGCTACACAAGTCATTCAATGATTAAACACGAGCAGGTTTGCTTTAACTGATGGAATAACCAATTATTAGCTTTGTTGATTTCTTACCATTCCTTTACTTTCTCGTATGTTAAAGGGGTAATGATGGCTATCGTAAAGCCTGCCATTTGATGTAAGTAAACTTTCTCGTATGAAATCAATCGTTTCCTTATTCTACAACTTAAAACTTTCCTAAATTTGCATATACCTCACTTGGATGGGGTAGAAATTGCCATCTTCTAGCATTCTTTAAATCCATTCAGTTACTTCCTTTTCTAAACTATTCCACTCTTTTAATATATATGTATATATTTTTTGTTCCTCCGTGTGGTCCAATTTTGCCGTGAAGGTGGATGAGGAGGGGAAGGGGTGGGGGTGGGGGGAGGGGGAGGGTCAGGACAAAATAAATGACGACAAGGAAAAAAACAATTTCTTTACATGTTTCTTTGTTTAAATCTTTGCTTGTTCCCCAGGGAGAGGGTTTAAAATTCTCTCCCTCTACCGTTCCCCTAGCCGCAAGATTGAGCGCACTACCGACAGGAACGAAAAAACTTTATCCCTTGCAGTGTAACACAAACCCCTATATATGAGAGTCGAGGTAAAAAATGATAGTTGCATGACTCTAATTTCGTGCTTTATTTCCGTGGGAATAAACTCATTCAGAGTCGAAGATATTTCACACTTGTCACAATTTCAGAATGCTTTTGTTGGACTGTCAATCAATCGACGACAATGCATTGTTGCGGTCACGCCGCTTTTGCTCTCCTGGTAATTGACGACCCAGACAATGCTGTCGAATGCTGTCTGAATATGCTTTCATGTGGGCGCGCAGTCGCCTGCAAAGTTTATAATTTAATTACTACTTAATTCGTTTATGGCGGTATGTGTGAGCTTCGGGTTACCATCGGTTCATGTTAGACAGAACATTAGGTCTTGAGGGCAAACAACAAAATATACTCAATAAATCGATTTATTTACTTAGTTACTGTACCATTCACCAAGTTAGAAGCAGCTGCATGGACGTTAGCTCTATAATTATGGAGGGAACGCAGTTTGGACTTCATCTGTTCACGTTTCCATACCCTAATAAAGGTAATCGTCGAGTTTTCTAAATTAGTGAAAATGATCACTTTTTTATAGATTTCAATTAGTGTTAAGTTTGCACGGAAGTTTGGATAACTTTCACACAACTCTCGACTTAAACAGTCTTCTTGTTTATAAGGTTTAAAGTACATCGTAAATGGTGAAATTAATAGAGAAAATTTGAACCTTTTCGCAGTATTGAAGCGCGTCTCGTTGTCAGCGGGCAGCCATATTTTATTAGAACGGATAATGGCTTTTTGCTTCAGACAATGGAGTCGACCAGATTGAATGTTTTAAATATGATAAACTGGTAGGGGTTTCGATGATATTTTACAACGGTGAGTATTTAAATTATTCTACGTTGGAAATAGGGCATTATTAAGGGAGGTTTTAACCCTGAATAGTGTTCAGGAGACCTTTACTTTCGATATTCTACGTCGAATTAGTGACACCACTGGAAGTTGAAATCCTTAAGTAACTTGCACACGCTTCCAGACTTCTTCTACCAAATCTTAGATATTACAGGAATTTCTATTGAAGTATGGAGCGTGTCCCTCATATTCATGTACATCCATTAATTACTGTTATTTGTATTTTAGGAAATCGAATTGCGACTTTGACAGCACCATTACAAAGTCACCATTAGATGACGTGAGTAGCGAACCCGAGGGAAACCGACTGGTCTCCCGTTTGAAGAAGACTCACATCAAGAAACCTCTGAATGCCTTCATGCTTTTCATGAAAGAGATGCGTCCTCGTGTACAAGAGGAGTGCACACTGAAAGAATCGGCAGCAATAAATCAGATCCTCGGCAAGAAGTGGCATGAACTCTCCAGGGCTGAGCAAACCAAATACTATGAGATGGCTCGAAAGGCGAAAGAACTTCATCAGCGCCTGTATCCCGGTTGGTCAGCTCGGGATAACTACGCCTATCATGCAAGAAGACGGCATAGAAGGAGCCGAAGGGGTTTCCCACATCATAGATCCTTTATATCTAACAAGACGACAAGTAGTTCTAGCACCGTGAACACACTGGCTAAGACTTCACCCAATGGTCGTTTAAGATCTTCAAGTTTTCATGAAGAGAGGAAAAGCATCGATCTCCCACAAAAAATTCTAGAGCGTCCTCATTCGGCCAGTGATATCTACTCTCCTAGTCTTGAACGAAGGATGTTGTCATCTTCATCTCCCCTTACACCCCACAATCCTCCTACCCAATCCCAATCCCCAGTGATAACTTCTTCGTTAAACAGGGTACCTGAAAGTCAACATCAACCACAGTCCCAGACTGTGGCACCACCACCCACAACAATGACAACGTCTTTTGGCTCACATCCAGTCCCACCTCCTCCTCCACCTACAATTCAACAGGGTTTCACCTCACCATCCCGGCCCACACCCCTAACTATGTCAGCTTGCTCTGCATTTGAACAACACTACAATCAAGCTACTAGCCATCAGGTTCCGACATCGGCACAGCTACCTAACCCTACTCAACAACAGCAATACCTTCAAATGGTCTCCGCTCAAAGAGGATTTATGGGTTATCCACCAACCCCAGCAAGTGTTATGTACGGGGGTGTTCAAAGCCATGGTCGAGGAGGCGGGGGTACGATGTCGAGGCAAATGAGTACTGGGGGGTATTGGGGGTATCAACAGCCTCAAGGTCAAATGGGTGGACAGACGGGGATAAAGAGGAGTCCTTATTTGAGTAGTGATTCTGTGGCTGCTGTGGCCGCAGTTGCTGCTATGGCTGTTGGTGAACTTTCTGGTGGAAGTATGAAGAAATGTCGAGCAAGATTTGGACTGGAACACCAGAATTTATGGTGCAAACCTTGTCGGTAAGTTCGGATTCAATTGACTTCTCTTTGTATGCATTTCTTTTACAAATAAGCATTTGGAGTAAAAATGTATCTCTGGTTTCTTAGATCCCGCAGAACTTAAGTGTCATATTTATGTTGTTTCTCCGAAATAAATCCATTTTAATTTCGGGAAACTTTTTAATTCAAATGTCTTTGTATATAAGTCTTTCACAACCAACGATATAGTAAAAGTCAATGTTGATATCAAATTAGAAGATGTTTTAAAAACGATAATTTTGCTTAATTCTAGCTCAAATTTGACGAGTTAATTCGTATGTAACGCTTAAAAGTGCGGCAATAATATATCTTTCACAAATATTGAATAATTGATATCTATCGAAATTCATTTAGGCACTTTCTAGTTGTATCTGAAAATAATCATTTTTATTCCAGAACGGAGCCAATTTTCAGTTTTAATTAAGTAGACACGTTTTTTAAACTTGGTGATATTCAAAATTTTAACGATACACCGTTATCGACCGATCTTGAAGACGTATTTCTAGAAATATTAGGGTCAATTATTTACAGTCAAGCCCTCTAGGTAAATTTCGGTGAGATTTTATCTCGTTTGTTTGAAATAATAAACTTTCAAGGACGGTTTTGGAATTCACAAACTAGAATGTCTTTAAGATACGCATTTTAATTATTCAAAGTTGGTATCCTTGCTTTTCGTTTTCTCTTTATTTGATTTAATTGCATTTATTCGCTTTAAAAAATAGATCAATTTTGCGAATAACTTTTCCCATATTTAGCAGGTGTCTGTTTGCATCAGGATAAAATATTCAAGGCATTCGGAACAAATTTTCAAAATGATACCAACATTTTTTGGCGGGAAACTGAATCGTGAATCACATTTCATGTTACGCCGAAAAACATCATTGTTTTAACTAGCGTTGGCCTATTCAACTAAATTATCAATTTTTTAGAGCAAATATCCAACAGATGATTGTGACTTTGTTATTTTAAGGTGCTTAAATGAATTCAGTAGAAATATTTTTACAAATCTCGTCTTTTGCCTTTAGGCGAAAGAAGAAGTGCATTCGCTTCATATCAGAGAACGAGGTGGAGGACTACATGCCCCATCATGGACATCATCCACTGTCTCACCATGGAACCTCTCAGGGTCATGCAACCTACAATCCCCATTCTGCTGCCGTCGCTGCAATGGCCTTCAACCATCAGACAGGGTCACAAACATGTGGCGGTACTTCCTATAGAGCAATCTCGAACTCTGCTCGTCGACAGGCCGCAACTGCACCTTATTCCATCCAAAAGCCGACGGGTTTTATGCCCGTCACTGCAGTTAGTGGTGGCGGTAACGGGGTGCCGGGCGTTCAGGCAGCTCAAAGGCCAAGTTCTTTTTCTCGTCAAACGATGCCACAACAATTCCCCAACTCCCCTTATGCACAACTTGCTCTCGGCAATGCTGGGTAGGTGACTTTTTTAGGAGTTCCATTATTTGCCCGCAAACGAGTTCAATAAGGTATTGAGCGGAAGAAATGATGACGAATAAGAAGCAAGCCGTAGAGTCAGGATATAGGAAAACTTACACATTAATTGGGTTAGTAAAACTCGTAGATGAACACAAATTATGAAGCGGAGGGAAATAGAGGGTTGACTGAATAGGTCCAGTTAGTGTTTCAAAATATCAGGAGTGGAACAAACAGGACGGCGAGTCGTTGTGTGCGTACTAAAGGAATTAGTTTGTTTTCAGTGCTTATTCTATGAGCTTCTCAAAAGAAACCGTAAAAATGTTTTCTTATTCAAATTTTGAATGCTTAATACTTCATCTCTAAGTGGTATTTATTTTTTTCTACCAGATACAAACGACCATTTCCAATTACAGTTAGTTCAATTCCTCGTCAACAGCTCAGTGATTTTCCAGTATCGCAAATTTCCGCTTATCGGGGTTCAACTACCACAGATACTTCAAGCAGCTATTGGGGTTCAAACCCACGTTCTATGGGAAGTGCCGTAGTCCCTACCTTTCCAACTAACTCTTATCCTCCCACCGCAAACTCCCGTTTTTCCGCATCTGAAATGATGCTCTCACAGGGTGCTGAAACGAAGTCTACTCATCTTCGGGAAACACAGGGTTCAAATTCTTCCCTTTCCTACACAAACACCATCAACAACCATAGCAAGATAATGAACAATAGTAATTTTCCAACACAACAGAGTACATCTGTATCTTCAATGAACGGAGGGGGCGATGGTATAAGGATAAAACGAGAGGCCCCACCGATAAGTTTCGGAGTCGCAGACGTCATGGGTTTCAAAACAGAGGTGTCCAATGCACCCTCTGTTGTTCCGCCGCCTACTTCGGCAGGATATCGTGGAACCACTGTCTCTCCAAGCACCTCTTCCTGTCCTCTAAGGTCCTCTCCTGAATTGGAATAGAAGTCGTCTCTTCGTCTCCTTCCTCGATGGTATTAAATACACAATAATCCCTATACACAAACCTCATGCATGCTCGGTTAACAGGGTTGATCTGGTTTCCACGATTTACTCACTCTCCCTTTATCACACTCTGTTCTGATAATTTGTACACACTCCAAAACGAACACTAACACTCGATAATAAGGGTATATCACACAAAGCGAAGCGCCAGGGTAAAATGTGGGAGGTTTCAGAGATGGACACCTTGGTGTCCACGAGAGACTGGGTATATCTGATTCCTCTCATAGACTCTTTCCTATCTTTTTTCTCTTTTCTTTTACTTTCGCAACCCTGTCTCACGCCTCTCCCCCCCCCCTCCTCCCACTGTTATTCATAAGTGGAATGTTGCCACAGTGTTTCCAAATATCTCACCCTCTCTTAATCTAACCTCTCTCCTTCCCCTCCCTCCCTCTCCCCACCCCAGCCCTTCTTTCTCTTTCTGTGTATAGTCTGTCTCATTTCTATATATATACATATATATATATATATATATATATATATATAGACCTTATTAGCCATTAGCCCTTAAACTTTGANCTCCTTCCCCTCCCTCCCTCTCCCCACCCCAGCCCTTCTTTCTCTTTCTGTGTATAGTCTGTCTCATTTCTATATATATATATATATATATATATATATATATATATATATAGACCTATTATTGCCACTACTACCTATATCACTTAATAATACAGAAATTTTGTCTTCTCTTTGAAATGCGGTGGTGAATTTGAAGGTCTATTAGACCACAGGATTAGTTATTGATATCGGGATAATTACCGACCACTTTGTAATAATACATTGCTGTTCACTAAAATAAACTGGCTTTTAGAGCTACCGGGGGAATTTGTGTGAGTCAACGCTTCCACACATACCACGCGAGATCTGAGGCTTTTCCGCATACGAGACATTCAAGGCAATGCGTCAATTAGTTACTATTATAAGATAAATAGGTCAACTCCAATGAAAAAGGAAATAATAGCTTTTATTATTTAAGATTGGATGCCAAAAATTGTGAATTCATCCCTAATCAATTTGGGCCGTTCTCCTTCAAAATATACTTTCACCTCAAATATATGAATCAATAGTTGGGCAAGCCATAATATTACGGAATTTATAACTATATCTGGTAAATTAGACACTCATGACGCCTTATTGCAAAATAAACCCATATTTGTGCCTTGTATGAGTTAAAAATCAGTGGAAATTGAACATGCGGAAAAACCCCCACAAATAAAAGAATATCATGTATTTAAAATCATTTATTTCACCTACTGCTCTTATTAATAATTTGAAAATATGTGGAGACTAGAGTGTCTGGGGGTGAAGTATTTTCAAGTTTGGTAAATTTGAAGAACGTGGCATGTGCCTGCTAGGTCGACCTTTACAAAGTCGAACGAAACTCAGACGTCAGGAAGATTAACAGCAGATTTTTATGTCTATCGATTTGGGGTGTGGTTTCAAATGGCAGGCGTTATGATAGGTATCATGGGGTGTGGGATAGACTTACCTCCACGTGGTGCACCCAGGGCAACGTATAGACATACGGCAAAAAGTCTATTAACTGGCAGTTGATTTCCGATTTCAAACTACCATCATCCCACTGCATGTCATATTCAACTACTTTCGCAGTATTCACCTTACCTTTTCCCTGCCTTTGTGTCTGTCTGTCTCTTTTACATCTATGAATCATTATTCTGTCCCCTCTCGACTTTTGTCACTTTGATGTTCCTCCTCCTCCTCTCTGTAAAGCCCAAAGTCAGCTAAAGGGCTAATGATAACTATTAAAACGCCTGCCATTTGATATAAATAAATGTCTATCGACTTGGGTATGGGTTAAATAATTGGCTGTAGTGGTGATTTCTTCACTTTTAGTCTTAGCTATCCACGTTCGAGTGTGGGACCTCAATGCAAGGGGAATGAATCTTCCCAGATGCCTTCAGGTCCACCAAGAATGTTAAGCTGAACTTTCTTACACTATTCTTTCCATGAATCCTTCAGCATCTTCTGAATCTGCTTTAAACATAGATCGAATTCAGAATTAATACGATTCAAACCAGTAAAGACAAACTATTAAAGACCGTTCACTTCGCTTTGGCTGCTTATCTACCCCATAAATTAGTTTGTTTTCGAAATCAGGAATTACAACTATCATATCCAAAAATTAATGCTTCCTTAGCATATTTGAGTTCTTCATGACGCACATTTTGGCTAATGTGACCAAATATGATTTACATAATTTGAAAGCCTCCGACTTCTCAAGATAATGGGTCAAAACGAAACAGAACCTGGCTGAGACATGGTTGACTAATCAAAATGTTGCAATGGTACCATGGTTTAGCAAGATTAACAGTCTTCAAAACAGTTGCAGATATCTACGTGGGGATTAATCTTGTGCTTCCAAGCGCTCATTCACAGTAAATGAACTCTTCTTTGTAAAAAAGCACAAGGTACCCGATCTTGGCTCATCATCAATCTATTCCCTTTTAAGCCACCAAACACGTTGCTACTAGGGGATTGGTAGCAAAGTAAATCTAATTAATTCACAGGTCAGTAATGAAGTTAATTGCCATTGACTAAGCCAAAATGGGCATATGGTGGAGCTGTGAGAAGCCAGAATCGTAGATACACTCAACCACAACCCCACTCCTCTTGAGTCGATAGATGTCGTCAGGCCGCCTCTCCTATTAGTTTTTATTACTTTTGACATTTTCCTGTCGGAGGTATTGTCATGCAGACTTTTCAAACACCAAAACTTAAATGGTCCTCTTTCACAAATCCCCGAACGGCTAGGACTAATTAGACCCATCAAATTAGTAGGTGTAGGTGATATCGGTCAGCCCCCATTATGACATTGTTTTTTTTTCAAACCCGCGGCCTTGTAAAACAGTAATAAAAGTCAGCCAATGATCATGGGCGGGAAGAAACATGCATCAGAATGCATGGTGGGTATTTCACTGTTCCACAAACACGAGCATTTTTTACAGTAAAACAGTAAAGGCATGAAATGAGACAAACAAACTCGAGTACAGTATACATAAAAGCGGAATGATCCGATTTTAAATCAGCTTGAAAAAAGAGCGAAACAGAGATATGAAAGACAAGGATACTACTGATGTACAAAAAAACACAGGACAGACGAGATAAAGAAAACAAGTAGGAATAAAAGAGGAGAGAACTCCATGGGGTCTCAAGATAAGTGGGGGGAGGAGACTCAAATAAATTTGGTGAAAACCAGGATAGCACCGAGGATCATAACAAGGCAAGCGAGAACAAAGATGACTAGGAGTTTGCGGTCTTTCCTCTGGTGGGATTCAGCCTTGGTCAGCTGCTTCAGGCTCTCTTGAACGCGAACTTGAGTTTGTTCCACGTTGTAATCGATACGATCGACCAGTGTACCCTTGAGAGAAGGAAAAATTCCCATAAGGGCATAAATAAGCTCGATAGCACAAAGATAAATGAAAAAAAACAAGAGTTAAAAAATGTAAAACTCCTTTAATTTGCCCATGACAAAATGAGCCATGCTCTACTAGAGACAATTCATACAAGAAAAAAGTAACCAATCACAAACCTGACTTGTTCTATCAAAAACGGAAGAACGTCCAAGCAGCAACGGTGACAAACTAGGCAATAGTTATAAATTAAAACGAGAGAAAAAATGAGTTGAGAATCCAATCTCTTGACTGTCACGATTCCCCACACAAGATTCACCACTTCAAAGGAAGACATGGAAGAAATATGAAGAGCAAATAGGTCAAGCGAAAAAATTCTGCCACTAATAATTTAGACACATTGCTCTAGTTAGTCTCCCCATTTACCTCAACAAATTTAGAGTTTGGAAGGTAAAGAAATACTAAACTGCCGTGAACAACATTTCCTACAAGGGGTGCGTGTTAGACTTACCTCCACGTGGTACACCCTGGGCAACGTATACTCATACGGCAAAAAAGTCTGTTAACAGGCAGTTGACTTCTGACTTCAAACTACCATAACCCCACTGTATGTTATATTCGACTACTTCCACAGTACTCACCTCACCTTTTCTCTCCCTTTGTGTCTGTCTCTTTTACATCTTTGAAACACCCTTCTGCCCCCCCCCCTCTCGACTTTTGTCACTTTGATGTTCCTCCTCCTCTCTGTGAAGCCCGAAGTCAGCTAAAGGGCTAATGATACCATCAAAACGCCTGGCATTTGATATTAATATTTCCTACAAAGTGTGGATCTGTGCTACTGAAAAAGTGATGATATCTTTGCAAATAACGCCAAGACAATAGAAACTAGTACATACCGACTAGTTGCTCTTGTGTATGCATGCCAAGCACACACCAAGATGCAATTCAAAAGAATGCGCCTGCTTACGAGTGAGTAGGCTCCAGAATTCTGGAGAAAACTTCAAAGTCAGCTGATTGACCCAAAAGTTGACATGGTTACAGAGCGTTTCTCAACACTTGCTTAGGCAGAAGAGAGGAAGATGGGTAATAACTCATATTCTTCAACTCCTCATTTTAGACAGACAGTCTGATGAGCATCAAACTCCTAACTTCTCACTTTCCAGGCAAGAGCAGCCCATTTGCCAAAAGCCACAAAGTAATGCTAAGGTGAAGCACCTATCAGCACCACTCGAGTGAACTAATGCGTAGCTAGAGTATGAGATGTAACCAATCACAATCCACTGTGATGAATCATTGCAAAGGCGTTGTGAGTTCATGATAAGCGTAACGTCAAGTAAAAAGAACTTACTCTTGAGGGGAGAAAGTGGACAGAATTTCAAATAGTATCCATTTTTCCGACTCTAAACTTTATTTAAAATAGTGAGATGAAAACCGGTAACAAATCAATTCCCGCATTTATAAAATTTCATCAGTTATTTAGATCAAACGGCAGGCCTTTAGTTGACTTTGGGGCGTCACAGAGAGCAAACATCAAACTCGAAAAAAATCAAGGAGGGGAAAAGAAGAGTGATTGGCAGATGTAAAAGGGAGGCAGACACAGAGGTAGAGAAAAAGGTAAGGTGAGCACTGTGAAAGTGGTCGTATATGACATACAGCCGGGTCATGGTAATTTGAAGTTAACTGCCAAATTATTGACTTTTTGTCGTATGAATATACGTTGCCCGGGATGTCATTATTCGAGTTCTTTTCAGTAATAAATTAATGTTTTTGTTGTTGCACTTATTGGTGCCGTATTTAAACAATACCGAAATCGACACGCATTCATCACGAATTCACTAATTTTTCTGAACAGGGACTTTACTGAAAATCTCGAATTATAAATGCATGTAAAACCACCTGTAGATAAATGCTAATTAAATAGCGAATTAATTACAAGGCTCAAACCCCAAATCACAGTGACAACATATGTGTATAAAACGTTTTAATAATCCATTTCAAGAATAAGACCCATTAATGCAGAGGCGGTTCTAATAAGCTATTTGAGGGAAGGGAACTCGGATTTGGAGACTGAAAAAATAATAGGAGCCTAAATTAGAGTGAATCTTCACTTATTCCGTAAAATTTACGTCTAGTTTCCTGAAGATGGGTGTGCCGATAGACTTACCTCCACGTGGTACATCCTGGACAACGTATACTCATACGGCAAAAAGTCTGTGAACCGGTAGTTGAGTTCTGACTTCAAACTACCACGATCCCACTGTTTATCATATTTCACAACTTCCACAGTACTCATCTTACCTTTTCTCTGCCTGTGTCTGTCCGTCTCTTTTACGTCCGTGAATCATTATTCTGTCCCGCCTCTCGACTTTTTGGCACTTTGCTGTTCCTCCGCCTCTCTGTGAATCCCGAAGTCAACTAAAGGGCTAATGATAACTATCAAAGCGCCTGCCATTTGAAATAAATAAATAAAGTTTCCTGAAGATAAGGAAATGGATTACCAATATAGTCAAGCAATAAAATATAAAAAATGGGAAACGACAGGTGAGGCAATAAAAGGAAACAGCCAAATATTGAAAAAAAATCTAAAATTGTTAGTGAATTTCTAGCATAGGAATTGTAACCAACAGCGATTTCCCCCAAATGGAATGTGAACCAGGCAAACATGGTAGAATGGAAAACTTACTTGATCAACAACAAGCTGAGCAACATCCCGGAATATCTCATTGAGTTCGTGTAAGGAGCGCACGATTTGAGTAATTTCCTGTTCTCTCCTCTCAACAGCTTTCGTATTTTCAACCAAAAGCATTTGGGTCTGATCTCCAGTTGCAGGCTACAAAATGAATATAAACCATTAACAGGAGACCTAAAAATTAACCAAATGTCGACAATTCCAACTAATATGAATATCAGTATGGGAAGCATGACCGTAAGTTTATATCACCAATCTTCTTACAGACCTTATTAAGCAGACATCACTAACACTACTTAAATAAAACTCCAACAAATCTGATTGCTACAACCTCATAATAGTGAATTGATCCATGTAGTACAGAGTCCAAAAAAATAATTGATAAAATCAAACAATATGATACAAATCTACCTCTAAAAGATTAAATTCAGTTAAACCGACGACATCATCTGCAGTTAATTCATTTCCCAGAGTTGTATTTAGATAACCACGAATTCGTTCATCTCTCGCTTTAAGCTCTGAAACGAGGATGTTAAATATACTAGAAGTTAGACATTACCATTCAAATACTGAGATTGAACCTTTCTAAAGGTCTGAGACAGTTCTTGTAGTGTCCTAGCAAGAGAGGAAATTGTGTTAGTCATTAAGTTTTCTGGCTGAGCGCGACTTCCAGAAAGGATCTTTCGCTTTAACGCGGCAAGTTGAGAAAGTTGACGATGGCAGAGGGTAAATAACTGAAAAATGATGAAAAATAAGAATATAAAACTCAAACCTGTGTCAACTCCTTCGTTTGCAATTCAATTTCTTTGTCATCATCTAAGTTGTCATCTAGTTTTGCGGCCATAATATGATGATCGTGAAGATTTATTAATTCCTTCACTAAATGTACTTGATTAAGCGGAGAATTTCAAACACACTTTTCTGACGAATCACTGTAAACTCGAAATTAATCGATTTGACCATATTCTGCCACTCCTGCAAACCTTCGTTGGATTTCGTAAAACCAAGTTCTACGTTAGTCATTTCATTTAGTAACATCTCTTTGTCTGTCGAACGCTAGAGGATATCGATTACAAAGACTTAGAATTTACTGCGTGGACATTATTAGCGAACTGCCGGTTCTGAATAGCATTGTTTCGCATAAACACAAAAGTATCAGTCAATTTTCGGGCCCCCATAACCGGGTTCATGTAGGCTAAAAGCGATGGTCAAATTTCTTAACCCAAATAAACATACCGCTTAGTATTTAACTGATATTAAATGCAAAATATATTAGCAAAGAATTTTAATACATTTTAATTATCGAATAATATATAATACTTAATAGGGCATAAAATATGTTCAAACATTACCTCTTGTACTTATTTCATAATAAAGTTAAAAATTAACTAAAAATGAACTGTATAAAAAAGATAATTCGCAAAGCTTTGCTTATTTTTCGGAATATAAGCAAATGGCCTTCCAAAATGTAACCTTCTAAGTGGAGATTCAGGGTCGTAGTTTTTGAGCATGCATACTTTAATCTGATCTGATGATTTCTGCTGTTTTCAACGTGTTTCGTGTTTTTATCAGCGTTCGATGTATAAATGCACCCAGGGCTGCATTATCCTATTGTAATTTAAATCGTACCACCTTCGTTGCAAAACACTTTAAAGCATGCCATATGCAACCCATTGTTCAGCCGTCTCGTTTTAAGAGTAAGAACAAAGTTCGCAAGCCCACAGGTAGAAAAAAACCTATCGTCATTCTCTTAAGCTAAACTTGTTAGCCTGACTGAAGAGCTTAAGCAGACAATCAAGGACGAGGATATGATTCAGGATTACTTGAAATTGATGGCTAGTTTTGAAGACAATCTTTACCACAAGCTGTGCCTTAAACTGACTCCCGAAATTTTTTATACTATTCCAGTGAGGTTACAATGGTTATGTTTAGTTCTTTAGATTCCCAGTGAACGTGTTCAGCTTGGTGATGTTGCTACAATTATAAGTCAAACTACAAGTCAGTCAGCAAATATTCAACCTACTACCCAAATCTTAATCGATCTAAGTGGTCGTCCAGATTTGGTTCCTGCTGCCAAGGCCGCAGTATCGCAGTACCTTTCTAGTGGGGGTGAAGCACCCAGTTCTAAGAAGGGGAAGGCCAATTCGTCGTACTCCGATCTTATTCAAGATGTTGACCAAACCCAATTTACAGTTCGACTTCGCAATATTGTTACTGGTGACGTTCGAAATGAACTGACTAAACGAGGTGATTTTATAAAGGCTTGTTTTAATTGCATTTCTTAAGGTCGTGATATGCTTCATCGAACGAAAAGAGATATGGACAAAGTGTATCAAAAGTACTCAAAACTGGTCGCGTCAATGAACACTTTATCTGAAGATGATAAGAGGACGGCTAATGAGTATTTGAAAAGTACTGTGAAGACACAACATGCGAAAGCCGAGCAGGCATGGAAAACGAAGGAACAGGAGCTGCTGAGCGACCAAATTTAGCCCTTTTGTTCTTACAAATTCAACAAATATATTTATATCTTTTGCTCAGTTATTTGTTTTCACGCGGTTAAATCGATAAACTAACTTATTAGTTGTAAGACATTTAAGTATTCAATTTGAATATGAGTGGAGATTGGGTTAAAGTTCAGGCTACTCATGGATTGCATTTATGATGGGTGTTCCCGCTATCTACAACATTAAGCTTCAAAAGTCTCATAGTTCACAATTTCATAACTTGCTTGTTGTCTGAAAAAGACATATATCATCTAAAGTTCATAGCTTAGTGGTGTCATTTTCAAAGAATCACGCCTCTTCAAGGTGGAGTGTGTTTTAAACTGAAGGCGAAAAAATGAAAAAGGAGTACTACAAACTAGAAATTATACCAATAAAAAATTTGGACTAATTGTTGTTGTGATTGCACCGACTAAGTGATTCATCTTCCCTCGCCTCAAGTGGAATTTAGGACAAATTGACTAAACGCTGAATGAGGCATTTTTCTTGATATTACGGTATATCAGCTAAATCTGAAAGTTCTGGCCAACTAGTTCACAAAAGCCCCCTTAATTTCAACCTTTTCCTCCGCATTACCAATTTAAGTTTAATAAGAAGGTCCAGATGGAAATATTATAGCAAAAATATTGCCCTACGACAGTAAACCTAAACCTCTCAGCACTAAGCCCAAGCATTAGCTGACAAAGAACGCAATATATTACCCAGGTACGTGGTAATAGAATGAGCCTCTTATCAGTGGCAAATAATGGTGACACCCATTAACTCAAGATAAATGGCAAAATGGCCTTTTAAAACTACCTCCATTGTTTAAGCAAATACGTCAGCAAATCGTGGTGAAGCAATTTTACCCAGATATAGAACATTCGCTTAAATCAAACTAGCGGTACATTTAATGAAATGCAACTAAAAGGTAAAGCCTTACTACATTTATTTTATTTATTTATATCAAATTGCAGACTTTTTTGATAGCTATCATTAGCCCTTTAGTCGACTTCAGGCTTCACAGAGGTATGAAACATTAAAGTGAAAAGTGTGACAGACTTATCTCCACGAGGTGCACCCTGGGCAAAGCAAACTCATACGGCAAAAAATTCTATAAACCGGCAGCTGACTTATGACTTCAAACCACCATCACCCCAATATATGTCTTACTACATAAAGAGGTCGAAAAAGACCAGATAACACAAGAAATCGAAGAAATAATTTCAAATTTCGCCATCTTTATTAATGTGAAAAAATACATGAAATAATATGTTATTAATAGGAAACAAGGTGCTTATGTAGTTAACATAAATTTAATTCTACTAATCGGCAGTAAGCAAGTGCTCGTTTGCGTGAGTTAACGGGAAACATTTGGAGATATTACAAAGCGAATGTGAGCCATCCAATCAAAAGGGTAGATCCACCGATGGGCGCAATATCCACAAATCTACGGTCATCTGTTAGCGCTGTGTAATAACAAGTCCCAGAAAAGAGGACAGTTCCAATCAGAAAAAGCGTTGTGGTCTAAAATATTAACAATTAGAAAATTTACTAACCAATTTCGGAAAACGCGAGTTATGTACACCGAGAAGGGCAAGAGCGTGCAGAATATTCATATCAGCAGCATTTCTGAAAGTTCTGAGGTTTTGCTCAGACCTTTCAGTATTTTGAAAACCTAAGAAATATCAATCCGCCATATTAACCAATCTACCATGAGCTCCATAAGCCAACGCGGAAATTGCAAGCGCTCCTAGAATGCCTGCTAACTTTGCATTACTCCCACCAGGTACAATAGCCGGTGCTACAGATGCCTTTTCAGCAACTTTAGTAAAAGGCCAGATTATGTAATCAACACCCCTTCTTAGAAATTCCATCCTTGATTTGTGCGACGGCTACTTGGACATATTAAACAACTTGAAATGAGGATTTTATATCTCTGCTAATATATTATTTTCCACCGAAATGTTATGTGAATTTTTATAAAATCAATTAAATTCAACACAATTCTGCAAATTTTTAAAGGACTCATAAGATAATGACTTTTTCACGGATTGAATTAAGTTACGATTTTCTTCTTTTTAGTTTTAAATGCGAATAGTAAGAGATGTCACTTGGTATTTTCAATGCAAATAAGAATTTTAAAAATCTTTTGAGGGATAAATTAGCCCAATTCAACCCACAGATTTTTGTCTACATCCAAAATTGTCGCTGTCGACATATTGTTCATTCCTACTTTAGTTTGAGGACACTTGTGTGAGTAATACAAGTTACTGATTTAATTTGTAATAAGTTAAAATTTGACGTCAATATCATGCGAATTTATTAGCTAAATTCGACGAGACCCAGTGTCATACATACACACATTTACTAAATTTTATGAAATATCCCATATTTATAACCAATGATCCTTTTTGTATATCTATTTTGATTTTAGTAACTGCGCATAAAATTGTTCTTAAACTTTATCGACGTGAAATTTTGATGCCTCAATTTTCCGAAAAATATTTACATCGCTTAGCATTCAATCTAACATTTCAAATTTATTCTTGATTGATTTTGGCTCGCATATGTACTTGATTCGACTACGCTAGGATATTTAACTTAACAACCTCATTTGTTAAATTTTTAACAAAAATTAACCTGCTAAGTGGATAGATAGGAAGCCATTCTAATGAGAGACCTATCTTCTGTCTGAGCCGCGTATTGACTTGAATTGACCATTGCGTTTTCCAACAAATGGATATGGAACTGGTTGTGCAGATATTCATGTTGATTACTAGGCAAAAGTAATCGGTCGAGTTCTCCCTTCGAAGTCTTGTTATTCAATAGCCTGCTGTAGAATTAAAATATATTTTCAACAAAAAACGGTGTCTGAGAACGTTATACTTTCGGTAGGGGCCCTTAAATGATACCGAATCGACTTAGTTTAGTGTGAAGGGGCTGTATGCAACCTTACTCTTAATTAGCTTTAAGCGGCTTGCCATCGGTTAGTGGCAGCGTGACTTCAAATCTCTCTTACCATTCTTTCCCAGATATCCAAGAACCAATGGACGTGCATGCGATGCTCCTTAAAGCTTATGCAATTCCAATAAGCAAATACGGTAAACATATGTGGACACACGCCTAGGGTACAAATTCTGCTCCCTTCTCTGAACTAGAAGTGGCATTAAGACCACATCAATCTTTTAGAGTTTTCTTTTCTCTCCCTTGTCAAAGGCTGCTATCAACAAGCAAAGTTGAGATGCTCTTCAGGTAGACTTTTGTCTATAATGTAGCTGCCATTAATAGGGGTAAAAAACACATTTTTCGTTAGGAAACAATAATTGCAATGCACGATATTTGAATCACGTCTTTCTTATCAGACTTGGTCTTCAGATTCATTTGGTGTCTGCTGATTGGTCACTAATGGATTGACAAAACACCAACTAGGTACTCCTTGTCTTTATTAATGACATCAGATCAGTAATCATTTGGGAATTTGTAAAAACTGCTATCAGCGTTTCTACCATTGTTCCCACTGCTTTTCTTCTGACCTGATCTTATCTTTTCTTCTTCAATCCGGGCCCTTCAATCCGGATGTTTAGTATCACTCCACTGATTTTTTATTTGATGCAGATCCCTATACTCTGTTTACTCAACTGGTTTCATTATCGAGGTCAATTTCGACTCAGCGACGATTGCAGATGCTTCATCAAGATGTTACTTAGTTTTCTTTGCATTCTTCCTATCCTTTTGAATGTTTTTTTCGTATTATTTTTTGACGTATCATAACCCGCCAGCCAGGTAATTTTCAGTTATGTCCACAGAGTGATAATTTTCTGGTTTCGCTCCCACATTGCTTCCATATGGTCTCTCTTACATAACAAGTGGCAAATGTACGATTTCTTGTCCAAACACTATTCAGGCAGAAATTTATGAGGAGATTAAATATTCTGGAGTAAATTTGTCATGGAAACCCATTAATTTACACACATGGTGCCCCAAAGAAGTATACGCACTTAAAATTATTGCAAACATGGTGTTCATTACTATTATTTCATTCAAATGTACCTATTAGGGGCCTGAGAATCCACACGTTACCGTTGAGCATCGTGCCAATTTACATGGAATTACAGTGTGGAGCGGTTTATCATCAAGAGAACCGATTGGACCCTTCTCTTCGGACGCTACTGCTGCAGGTCCCATTTACTTGAACTTTTTGCAGCAGTTTTATGAAAAGCATAGGAGAAGACTTTGAAGATGAAGAGTTTTATTTTCAGTGAGATGGGGCAACTCGCACATTACCATCGCGATGATAGGTTTTACCTTGAAGAAATCTTGCCAAACAGGTGGATTGGACGAAGAGGTTATGTTGAATATCCCCCCCCCTTTCACCAGACCTCAAACCACTAGATTTTTTCTTGTGAGGATACTTGAAAGTCTAAGACTACGCTACAAAACCTGCAATAGTCACTGAATTAAGGGAAGCCATTGAGCACGAATGCATCTAAATCCCAAAGGAATTATTTCACGATGTGTGCGATTCGATTGCTTGGTGTTGTTAGCGGTGTTGGGATCAAAATGTACGTCAACTTGAGAACAAGCAGCTCAAAAGCATAAAATTATACTTTTAAAATATTTTAACGCTTTCGAAATTGAACGCCACGTTTATAATTGGTTTCAGTGAGTATACATTTTTGGGACACCCTACATTTGTGTTCACCGGTTTCATACCCATTAGAGTCATTATAACTCTTAAAGCCAGACTAAGCATACTCATTCGCAAGATCATCTAATTTAATTGCATTAATTTCTTCGACCACACAAAAAAAACAGTAAAGACCCCCCCCCCTTTAATCGTTAATTCTTGAAACCTCACAATCATTGGGTTACAAGAAAACTTCTTTCCTAGGCATTATATTTAGTACAATTTAGTTTGGAATTTAAAAAAGCATTATTGATTGCAAACAGCTAATTGTGTCACAAAGGGTGTACTCGATAATGCCAATGCCATTTCTTAGGACAAAAGAAAGAATAACAAGCTCGTTTTTTAGCCAAAATAAACACAGCTTTCACTTCGTGTTTATACTAACATTGGGTGCTGAAAATTCGATGTGGTTTTGATGTTAGGTGCCCTTGTAGCGAATTGCTACATGAACAAGCCTTGACTTTTTCTCAAAGGTCAGATTCCGTCGACAACATGGCGGAAACAGACGTACGGTGTGGAACACATTTATTATGGATGTGTCAATCACAGAGGTAAGTCGATAAAATACAATGAAGGGTTTGTTAAACGATGTTGGGACCATTGGGTGATGGCTGACTGAGTTTCTGCATTTACAACCGCACTTGCTCCCCGCGTGGAAGTAGCACGCTGCGTCTTCGAGTCTGCCCAGGTGCGTATGTAATTTCTTTGTTCAGCCATGATAGCATTCTGTTCTCCACACCTTAAAACGTGACCAGATGCTCATACCGCAAAATGGGCCCACTTTAAGTGTATTATAAGTCGCTTTGCGGTTAATGAGTCTTTGTCTTAATTGTGTTCAATTTTAATTAGTAGTAGACGTGTTAAGAGAAGGATCATTTAGTTTTGATCGCTGTTACTGCCTATCCGTCGCTTTTTGGCAAAATCAATTTTTAACTTAATGGACATTTGGTAATAACATTATTGCAGTTCACATTGGAAGAACTCTTGTTTGTCCAACTAGACTCACGCCTTTATGAAACTCAAATATGAATCAAACCGACACAACCAACTATCTAGGTGAAACAACTGGTCAAGAAGCTTTCAGTATCTTGAACGTGATCTCACCCGAAACTCAAAAATCCTGCCATGAAAACTGTACCATGGGAGTTATAAAATGAATTGGATGCCTCCATTGTTCAAATAAAGTAGATCTTTAGCAATCTTGATTTTAATACGCACTTCGATTCGACTCCCGTTCCTCCTCCTAAATTGTATAGCACTTTGGAATGCTTAGATGAATACCTCATGGTTGGTTTGTTGAAGCAATAAAGCAATAATCCGCCTTAAGTGGGGGGCGATAGACTTACCTCCACGTGGTGCACCCTGGGC